CTTTAAAAAAACTAATAGATAGCATACTGATATATATTACTTATCTAAATATACTTAGAAATTGTTAACTATCTCATAATGAGTTTACCTTTTCCTTCACTACTCATGCTTATGAATCATACTTACAGGAAATAAGAAGGTAGAGAAACCTGGAACTAAGGAAATAAGAATAGTTTTGAAATTACTGGGTAAATCCCAATTAGTGGTGGTAGATAGAATTCCTCCTTTATAGAGATCTAAAGAAGACTGTTCATTTGAATGATTGCATCAATATTGAATATAACAGTCACAATGGTCTTGTTTAGTATTGTCTCCAAACATTTCTAATCAAATGAATTATAGTTATTAAAGTTTGGTTCCCACATAATTGATGATGAAATTAGATTTAACTCATTGAAATATAAGCAAGTACTTTATGTGTGAAAGCCCATAATGTAGTCATGAGACTCTAACTTTACCAGACATTTAAATGTTCTCTGTTCTCTTAAATTTTACTCCCTTTAAATGTTGTCTTAATTTAAACTTATAGGATAGAAAGCATATGACTATATATCACAAGATACATATAATTAAGAAAGCAAAATTTAAAATTTATATGCATGTTATTTGTATCTGCAGTTCATAAAGTGATACATGACAGAATGGGTTCATTTAGGTAGGATCACAGAAATTCAAAGCTGGTATATATATATTTGAGACAATGTTCTGCAAGCCTAAAAACATTAACTCCTTAAGGTAACAGGCTAAATTGACACCAGTAAGATTATTGGAACATGAATATGTTAGTCAGCTTTCTGTTAATGATAACATAATGCTTAAAAAGAAAATGGATTGAATTTAGCCCATAGTCTTAGTGACTCCATTACTTTCCAAGACCAGGTGGACCCTTTGCTTTTAGACCTCTGATTTGAGGATTTCAGATAGCAATACTGGAAGCATGTGGTAGAAGCACCTCATTTAACTCATCAGTGAAAAAGCAAAGAAGGGAAGGGTCACTTTCACCTTCCACTAGGGCTCTTACCAGGCCCCACTTCCTAAAGGCCCTGCAAGTGTATACAGGTATATCAGATGTAATTGTCATCTCAGAGGCTTACTGCTGATAAACTCACCCTTTTGAGTTCTTTCTGAACTCTGGCTAGCTGATTCAACTCAGCTTTTCTGGCTCAAATTCCTTGTTAAGCTAACTGATTAGATCTGGTTTCTCTGAGCTTCTCACTAAATTGCTCTGCTTGGCCTCAAACTAACCCTGGTAATGTGTTCTAATCTTCTGACTCTTCTTATTCTTTGGGTTCAGCTACCTCTGCTGACCAGCACTGAAGTGCAAGAACTCATGTACCAACTCAACTCCACTGCACAGTACTCACTCCCAATTGACTCTCTCCCTCTTAAGTCACCTCTTTCCTGTCCCTTCTCTTGAGAGTTGGGTGTATGCTATCTGACTCATTCTGTCAACTCTTTCTCTGATTTGTCATTTTTTCTGCCCCTCAGTTAGATGTCACTTTCAAACATGGCTACTTCCTTCTACAAATTAACTTTACCTTCATTGTTTAGGATTAAAGGTGTGTACTAAGGTTGTGTCTGAATTTCAGCTAGATCACACAGACCTCGATCTTTGGATGTTATCCCTTGCCAGAGCAGCCATGTTGTGTAGAGGATTAAAATTCCTCCACACAAGTGCCTATATCTTCTCTCCTAACAGCACCAGCCTGAACATGAAGCCTTTAAAAGCCAGCTAAGTGAAAGTGCTGGAAGAAGTGAGTCAGGATTTAAGCAGAAGCAAAAGGGTAGTGGGCTTGATTATTGCTGGTATAACAGCTTTAATTTCGTTAATTGCTAGTACCACTGCTTCTGCAATAGCATTGACACAAGGAGTTAAAAACTATTTTTGTTAACCATCTAGCAAAAAAAATGTTAGTAATGTATTGAGTATACAAAAGGATTTATATAGGTATCTGGAACAACGGATTGATGCTCTATATCCTATTCAAATTATCTGAAGGAGGTTCAGGGTTCAAGAGTTAGGAGCCATCTCAAGTGTCATGACAAATATCATTGGAGTAGTGTTACTTCTAAAATTTACAATGGTTGTCATTATAATTAGAAAAAAATTTAAAGACACCTGTAGGGTATTTGGCATAATCCTAACATCTCTCTGGGTATGTTAACTTTGCATAGTGAGATTATGAATTTAACAAATACTGTTCTGTTGCACTTTGATGCTGCATATACTGCTGATAAAATTATCCATGGCCTGAGGTCAGTATTTCTGTTTTGGTCAAACCTCAGGAATGGTATATATAGCTTGATCAGGCTAGCCCTTCTTGTCCTGGGAATACTTTTATTCTTGCCCATCGTGTTAAAGCTTGTCTCTAACTATATGAACAGGCTGGTGGCCAAAGTACATGACTTGAAACTGATGATAGACCCCCAGACAGAGTTATTAATTTAACAGGCTGGCAAGCCAAGGACAGGTAAGATTCTGCACAGAGCCTTACCAATCTAAGACATAAGTGCATTGCTTATGATAATGCATATTCCATGACGGATAAGGAAGGCTTTCTTGTCAGAATGACCTAAGACAGGGTCAGTCTGGTTCATGCAATAAAAAGGGAGAGATATCGAGAGCTTTTGGGGCTGTCTGGCAGGAATCTGTCATTGGCCAAGGACAAGGAAATAGGCTGCTTAGAAGGAATTTAACATAGGCCAAGGACAGGAAATGGACTGCAGGCAGGAATCTGACATTGGGCTGGAACAAAGAAATAATTTCAGGCAGAAATCTAAAACCTAGGCTAGAACAAAGAAGAAATTTCAGGCAGGAATCTAAATCTTAAGCTAGAACAAAGAAGTGTAGGCTTCAGGCACGAAAATGACTTTGGGCTAGGACGGGAAAGTAGGCACAGATATTTTGATCATCCTGATAGTGATCACAGGAGTGATCACTGGACTCTGTTTTTGTTGTGCATGTTCTTTGAGTATCTGGGTTTATTGTCTTCCTTGTTCCTGGACTATTTGCATATATTGTATTGCTAGTTCCTCAACCTGGAACTGACCTTAATACTTGGATGTTATTTAAACAGTATAAAGGCAAAAAAGGAGGAGGGATGGGATAGGGGATTAATGGGTGGGGGGAATGGAGAAGGGGGATGGCATCTGAAATGTAAATAAATAAAATATCGAATAAAAAAAGAATTCTACAAAAAAAAAAAAAAGGAAAAAGAAAAACCAGCTAAGGTGCAAAGTACAGCACCACAAATAATATTTCCTAGTCTAATGTGCTTTTGCTTATGACATTCTTCCTAGAGTCTAAATGAAATCTAGATAAGAAAATACTAATGCTTTGGATTATGTCTAATTATTTTAAAAATCTTTGTGATATGTGTAATATGTGTATTTAATGTCTCTATGTAGATGTGTGCATATTACGGAATACCTTTGGAAGTCAGAGGACATCACCTTTCGTGTCATTCCTCACCTTCCATCTTGTTTGAGACAAGGTCTCCTGTTCATTATTACCAGCACCAGGCTAGATAGATCTTGTGTTTCCAGGGATTTTTGTTGGTACTTCCCATATTCCTGCAGGGACACTGAGATTCTACTCTCCCTGGGCCCTGGGGATCCACATTTGCATTATAAGCCTTGTACCAACTGAACCATCTTTCCAGCTCTTATATTTATTCTTAAAATTTAACTTTTGATTTGTGTGTGTCTGTCTGTCTTTCTGCCTATTTCTGTGCCTCTGAGTACCCACAGACTGGAAACTGAAAATAGTGGCAACTGCTGAGTTCTGAGCCATCTCTCCAGTCCTCAAAGCCTTAGATTTCTATAAATCTAAAAGTTTAAAATCTGAAACAATTTAAAATATTTGAGTGACTGTTTAAGATACCAAAATAGTTTAAAAACAACATCATTAAAAACTGATTTAGAGCCAAGTGTGATAGCTCACACCTATAATCCAGGAGGATTTAATTTAATTCAGGAGGCAGAGTCGGATGGATCTCTGAGTTCAACATTAGCACTGCTCTCCACAGTATGTTCTAGGCCAGAAAGAGCTACAAAATGAGACCCTGTCTTTAAAAAGACCGACCCCTCTCCCCACAATTTAGGTACTCATTTTGATAGTTTGAGTAGACTCTGATCTTATAATGAATTTGTAAACCTTTACATGCAAATTAATCTGAGATACCTACAGTAGCTGGACTTCTTTAAAAGAAAATTAAGATTATTTAGAAAGGGATTGGGGGGAGGGAAAGTGAGTGTTGGCATCCTGTGGAGATCTTGTGGGAACTCTTCTGGGGATGAGCTGTTCTTTCTACCCCTCCAGCTCCAGCCGTCAAGTCCCTTTACACAGCTGGCTGTCTCTGGGCCCTGCAGCTCCTTCTTAACCAGCGCTGATACCTATTTGTAGTGTCCTCCCATTCAGCACTGGAAACAGATCCTCATGTCATATTAACTTGGGAAGTTTTATTGGTTCTTTTTTGGCTTCATTGTAACAAATAGTTATTAAAGCTTTTGTTATTTTTTCAGAAAGTAACTTTGCTTAAATTACTAATATAAGTTATTATATGAAATTCTGTTTTATTAAGGATCTCCTTAATAAATACTTGAACTGCTTAATAAAAATTGAGACCATTTCAGTATTCCATAAACATCTGAAGATATCTTTTTCAAGACTCTTTATAGTCCTCACAAACACAATATTTATTTGTAATGACCATGGTTGTCCATGTCCAAACACCCTTATTCTTTACTTTTCTAACCCTTGCCTTACGCTTCATTTCATTCTACATCTATTAATATATGATGTAAGTCTCAGATGAGATATGAAGGTATAAAATTTGGTACAATTCAGAATTTTTTAAAAATAGATTTTACCCATAATTTATAAAAATGTTTATTTTACTTTTTGTACCTAGAAATTCAGAATACTTTTTTTCAAATGCAGAGAAATAATATTATATTTCTCTTTTTAAGACTACTATCTGATACATATAAATCACAAGAGCAAGATTGGTGTAATATACACAAATCTAAATTATAGTGGGGTTTACAATGGTATAGAGTATTCAATTTGTTCTTATTGGTATTTATTATTTGAGCTTTCACAAAAACTATATAGTATACATGTATAGGCTATGTAAGGACTGATAATCTGTTAATTACAGCCACATCTCTTTCCAGTGCCCTATTAATCACTTTTCAAAACTGTTCTCTTGTTGTTGAAGCTTATAGAATAAATTATGCTGTTTTCACACAGTTGGAGAATTTGATGCTAGATAAGGATGGCCATATAAAAATTACGGATTTCGGACTTTGCAAAGAAGGGATCACAGATGCAGCTACCATGAAGACATTCTGTGGTACACCAGAATATCTGGCACCAGAGGTAGGCCCAAGTTCAATTTACAGGAAAAATAACACTAGTGTTTCTCAGAACATTTAAATATTTTTGTCAAGTTGCAATATTCATTTTTTTAAAAAAGATTTTAATCATAGTAATTTAATTGCTTTTAACTCACATGATGGGCATTTTAAGACCATAAGCATACGGAAATTAAATTTTTTACAGTTTGTAAGCACATGTTTTTGATAAAGTGAATTGGATCATTATTTTTCTTATATATATTTTATTTTCTTGTTATATTCATTTTAGTTTATTTGTTAAAATAGGATAATTGAGTAGCTTCTATAAGCATATCTATAGTTTTATAAACTATCTTGGACTTTACCTAGAAGCAGAGATTTTAGTGATTGTTGGTATTTGGTCTTTGACTACTGGAAATTGTTTTGTTGAAGAACCTGAACAAAATGACTTACTTACATTTTGAAGTTCATAAGAAAGGATGAAGAAGAGGTTTCAAACCCTTATTCAACTATTTGTTGTGTGCCTTCTCTATGTTTAGGGTTTTTTGTGTAATATGCCAATATAGGAACAAGATGGAAAAATGATTGTACTGTCAAGGAAATTCTATTGGACAGAGACTATGTGTATATGTGTTCTAAATATATGTATGTGTATAAACATATATGTGTGTATAAAAGTATATATGTATGTATAAAAATATAACATGTTTGTCTATATGTCTATATATATGTATGTATGTGTGTGTGTATGTGTATACACATATACATATCATAATGCTCTAAATTCCATATTAAAACTGAAAGGAAGATAAAGGAAAAGTTGTGCTTTGGTGTAGTAGCTTTCTTAAGTATACCAGTTAGTATTGCTGTGTAATAACCTACTCACATGTTCAGTGATGAAACAGAATTTCCTGTAACCTTGGAGTTCTTTACATCAGAAATGCACATGGGGACACACAGGTGAATTCTTTCTGTTCACATCTGTGACCTTATCCAAAAGATTTATCAACAAGGTAACTGCTTAGAGACTAAAATTACCTAGAAGTGTCTTCACTTGTCTGTTTACACTGCTACTAGGTGTCCAGTGACATGTCATTTAAGTTGTTGACAGGAGTGTTTACAGCCTTCCTGTAGCTTAGGCTTCTTTGAAATGGCCAGCATTCTTTGGCCTAGCAAATGTCAGAGGAACACATGAGAAGCAACCTTGTGCTTACTCCCTCCTACCCCCTTTCTCGTTTATTTTCAATACAGTTAACTGTTAAAATTTCCATTTAAAAATACTTCATTTTTTTATCATTTTGATACAGCTCACATGTCATATAAAATTTTAAGTCGACAGTTGACTTTTTCAAATGTTTAAAGTTGTGCAGCTATCACTTGTAATTCTAAAACATTTTAATCATTCCAGTTATGACTTCACCATTATTAGCTTCTCATTCTTTCTCTCTAGGCTATTGCAAATCTTCTTTCTCTTTGAAGCTTTTTCTGAACATTTCATGTAAATAGAACTATATGATAAGGAGCCTTGCATGTCTGGCTCTTCCCCTTAGCAGGTGATAACTTTCACCCGTATTTATACCCATGACTTGGCTTTTATGAAAAATGCTACTGAGATCATCCATGTGTCATCTCATTTCCTGGCCATTTTTTTTCATAAGCTCCACATAACTTTGGTCCTATGATTATTTCCTGAAGCAGTTGTAAACCTTCCCAGGTTAAACCAGCACTGGCATAGAGTATTCTTCCCTCTGTGAAGAAGCGTGTGAGATGGGAGTCACTGCAGAAGAATTTGAGTAACAGAATCTTCCACAGAGAGATGATCGAGTTGCTCAGATCTGAGTGCTAAGAAGGAGGATACCAACACAGAGAAAGAGTTTTGCACACAAGGTAGCCAGAAGGGACTGGAGCCAGACTAATGGGGTACCCTCAGAATGCAGCAAGGCACTATGGCTGCTGTTATTGAGAGCTTCCTTAGATGAGCCGGACTTCTGTTAGTAAGCATCACTTTGTTCCTGTGGTATTTGGAATAATAATATGAAGCATAGTGAAATTCATTTTCATTTTAATAATCCATATACAGTTAAAAGGTGATATGGAGTAAACAATAGTGCAGTATTCTCTCTCGCTCTCTAAAAATTATTCTTTGAGAGTTTCATCTGTGTAAATAATATGTTTTGATCATATTACTTCTCTGTACTCCCTAGGAGCATTAAGATTCTAATCAGGGTTGCTAGCTCATAAAGCCTACCTTTTCAACTGTAATCATATGAATGATGGCTCAACAGGAAATGATAATCAGAAGAAATTAGAAACTAGAATAAATTATGTATATATTGTCATGTTGCCTTACAGTATTGGTTTTTTTTAAACTAGGAGTTAAATTAACATTTCAAAAAGCTTAGTAGTTATAAATAAGTGTTAATATTTAAAGCATATTTCCATGTATTGCTGTCTTGCCAAACATATAATTTTCTCTGTTATAGATGCTAGAGTTTAAAATTCTCTGTTTTTGTTAGAGTTAGGTAAAATTTTAAGAAATGATGTTTTTGTTTATTCAAATATAAGATCATATTTTCTGGACAAGTTTTGTTTTTGTGAATGTCATGGTAAACAAATTCTTTGCTTCTCTGGCGTTCAGTTTTCCTTGCTATACATTTTTAATGAATGATGGCATTCCAGATTTAGGATACCCAAATTAGTTATGTCACAATTAGGAGAAATTATTCTGAAGAAGATAAAAACACATTTCAGAAGCAGAAGATCTTCTAAGAAACAGAGATACTGTTTTCTGTGCAGACATTATCAACGGAATGACAAACTAGGTATTGAATACAAAGAGTTCTGTCATTTCTAAGGGTTTATACATTTTTATACATTTAAAAATGTATTGGATTTAATTATTTTATGTATATATGTTGGTGAATATATGCATTGTGTGTGCATGTGCACACAATGCCATGTACATGTGGTGATCACTGAATAGCTTTGTTGGAATGCAGAGGTTTGAATTCTGTGGATAAAGGGAGGCCCTGTGAATTATAAGCCAGAGGTTATAATAAAGTGGGATTTACAGGGTCAACTAGAAAGAGATTATTTCATGCTGAAACTAGCCTTTTTCTTTACTTTCAGATGATGTTTACCACTTTTTGAACCTTTCATTTCTGCTCTGTCCCATGATAGGAGGTCAGCCATGAGTCAGACCTAGGCTGCACTCCTGACCACTGCTCTTGTGCATGACTCCCATCACTGACTGCTCTTCCGTCTGCTCTCCGAGCACTTTCTGAACAGACGGGAGTTTGTGTCAAGCTCCATTTCCAGCAGCCTGCTCTTTTACCTTTCATTTACTTCTGTCTGTTTGCTGTGGTCTGCCATTTAAAGGAAGATGGTGTATATATTGAAGATTCCTCAAAAAGGATATGAGATGTGATCTAAGGCCAGTTTATTAAGTGTCCTATATGTCAGACTTATAGCATATTTTTAAATGCTTACATTTACATGGACTCCCCTTATTTTCTGGTAAATACCACCAGAAAATATAAGGCTTCTCAGTAAAATAACATTAATTGATAAAAATAAACATCTAGATAAATTTCATCTCTACCTGCTTGATGAATAATGAAAAAGTGTAATACCTTTAATGGCAGTTTACCAATAGGAAAAGCTAATTTTTTAGTTTAAGTTTTGATGGGCCTGTAAACTAGACATTTCACATGCAGCATCTCTGAAAATACATTGATATGTACAGCTTTAATGAGTTCATTTTTCTTGTTGTAATTCAAGGAAATAAAGCCAACCCATTAAAAAATTATGGACCGTAAGATGTCTTGAACAGATTCTATTTTTGTAGTCTCTGCTGTGTTTTAACACCTTTAACTTATAAAAGAATTTAGAAATTACATATAAACTCTTTTAAATTTGATTATTTAGTTTGGATCCTATTAAATCCAGATGATTTTATGCAGTGCTAATTATTTGGAGTCTCAGCTTTGCTTTTGAGTTAGCAGTACCTGCTCAACTTTCCAACTGTAAAACAGTTTGAAAATCAAATGTAGCTTACATGCAAGACCCAACAAAATTAAAAGTGTTAAGTGCATTTTGGCAGTTCACTTTTATTGTGCCCAGTCCTCAAATGCACCGGCAGATAATCATCTGAATGTTAGTTATCTTTCACATGCTTATGTGATCACACAAAAAGTACATGCTAAAAAGAAGCAGATGGTGACAGATGGGCAAGGTTGAGGAAGGTGGTTTGGGGAACCCATAGAAATACAGTTCTATAATAGAGTAAAAATAAAACTATTTGATAACCAACTTAGAAAAACATGGAGATTATAAAATGAGTTGGTTTTGAGAAATATATAATATCAGCTGTGATTATTGTTGAAAATGGAAGTATGTACATTTATTTTATCTAAATGCAAAGAGTGCCCCCCGCCCCGTGACTAAAAGTGCAGTTAATTCTCTCTTCTTGGTTTTCAGAGCCCATTTCTAATTTATTGTTAGAATTCTGTATATTTTTCTTTTGAGGTCTATGTTTAATGTATGAAATAACTTATTAAAATATTTGAAATGCATTTGAATATTAGTAACTTTTGGTAAAGAAATCTTTTATTAAGATAAATGAATACAAATGAAAAATTAAATGCATAAAAATTTAAAATCAGAAATATACACTAACTTCATAAGAAGTAAACAGAATCATGGAATAGATGAGTGTGAGATAATGTAGGTAAAGGGAACAGATAGAAATAAACCTGATAAAATTTTGATCAATGAGGATCAAATGTGAGGATAGCATCTAATCGACTCTTTCAGTATTGTCTTTAGGAGCTCTAAGTGAGAATGGATGTGGTCAGTGCCACAGTGTGTGCATGTGCATCTATAATCTGCAGGCAGCACAGTGATGGACACAGTCACGCTCAGAGTAGCCCTTGAATACAATCTGCTGTATTCCTACAAGTTAGGAGATTAGTCTTAGACGCCTAAGCTTTATGAAAAAGAGTTACTTAGCTAACATCATTTTGAATGCTAACATTTTATTCAATTACGAATAATTTTTCTAACACCTGTCCCTTCCTCTTTCTGGCAGTCTGAAAAGATGTCATCCCCAGTATTAAAGGGAAGTTAAGTAAATTTAAGTCTCATCAGAGGCATAGTAATTAAGTCTAGTTGTTGTCTGCTTCATAGTTAGAATTCATATTTAAGAACCTTTATCAGATGAGTTGCCTTGTTACTTGATTTAATTTATTTCTTTACTATGGACCTATTATGGGTAGCATTAACAGTTATCACAATTTGTCCAGTAATTGGATATTGCTTAAAAATGAAATAGAATAAATGCCCTTCAGCTTTTACAACTAGTGCCATTTACTGTTTAGAAGTTATGAGTTTTTATGCTAGCTACATTTCACATAAGCTTCTTTTCTTAATGTGATGAATCAGACTATTTGGTATGATTTTAGTTGAAGCACGAAGTATAATTATAATTCTCTGGATGCTGAGGATATAAAAACAGTAACCTTAAGAGGGAACACTTAATGATGCCTATTTTTACTTGAATCACATGGCCCAGTTTCATTAATGTCTGTTGCTTTGTGATAAAAGACAATATAGAGAACTATAGGAAGATATATGCATGTATGATTTAATTACTGATACTGTAAATACTTAGATTTTTTTTTCTTAAGGGGTTTTCCTGTTCTGACTCTGGTTTTGAAATTGTGATGTTAGCTGCATTCAGTCAATCTTATATGTAAGGAGATAACAAAAAACATGAAACTTAGAGCAAGTTGCATATGATAACTACATATTGTATATCTTAAGAATGAGAGCATGGGTCACTAATTATAATATGATATATAAAATAGCAATATAAAAATATTGACAAACTGTGGGTCTCATAATTCTTATGAATCATATACTCTTCTTGAAACTATAATCTCTTAAAACCTGAATAAGAAATGTTGCCATTTTTATCAAATATCATTGAAGTGAAGAACATATAACCTTATAAACAATGAACTATAGATACATATCTCTGTATAACATATATCAGTTACCTGAAAATTGAGACTACCAGAAAAAAATTGAAAAAGTGGTAAATTGGTTCGTCCAAGTTCACAGTTTACTTTCACAACATAGGTGTGTAGACAGTTTGTTTAGATGTTTGATTTTTCTCCCATCTGTTCTGTCAGGATTATTGATTGAGCAGCAAGCAACTCCAGGGCATGCATTACCTCCTTATAATTGCTAGCCTTGGGTCATTGTTTGGCCTAAGTTGCAAACTGATAAAAGTGTTCTTTCATTCTTCCTGTAAATCCTTGGTAAAATTATACTAGAATGAAATGCTTTTTAAAATTCCTATTATATTAATATTGAGATATTTCATTGATGGAGTCATTCTGAAATAGTCACTTAATGTCATCTTTCAAAATTAGTATTGTTTAAGAGCATATTTGTAGATTAAAAATTGAATTTTTGTTGTTGTTGTTTGCTTGTTTACTTACCAGACTTTTTAGAACAAGTATAAGTATTCTCATCAGATGGTAATGAATGCTTGATGTTAATTTACCTGCTTGAATATTAGTTTTTTGTTTTGTTTTTGTTTGTTTGGTTGGTTGGTTTGTTTTTTAAAGTCTGAGAGTAAAGCAGTTTCTGAGTTATGCTAGAGAAATTGAAATTGAGCCCCTTTTCTGGAGTTTGTGCTATTTGACTTCTATTTGATGTGGTCTCTCCTCAGCTAATGGAATACATTCACTTTCAGTCCGTCTTTTGTCCATTGTCTTTGTGGGAATTGTGTTGAGTGGATAGGCTATCTAAGATTACAAAGGTTAGGATGTAAATCAGCACTAGATGTCTGCGTTCCTGCTTGGATTTGGAATTTTGGGTAAAATATACTTAGGCCATTTTCAAGATCAGTCTTTTACTGATGTTTTCTCTCAGCGTATGCTCTGACCTGCAGTTGTAGCCTAATAGGATGATAGATTACGTTGCATGAGGTAGAAGTAGAGTTTCCTATTATTACACCACTGTCTTTGATACCTTTTTCACTTTCACATAATCATGAAATTGATGAGCTGATTTGCTATGGAAAGTCATCATTAGAAGAAACCAGAGAGATTTTTTTTAACAATTAGTTTAAAAATCACAAGTTTTACATGCTACTAGAATTTTAGAAAAAGAAGTACTTTGAGTAAGAAAGAAAATTTTTGTCCAAAAATAATACAAAAGACTTATATTTGGAATAATTAACTTGATTTGAAAAATTGAGACTGTTTCACAGAATTGCATTTTTTAAAGCATTCTATTTAAGAGAGTATTTAAGTAGTGGAACGTGTTTCACATTACGTGTCTGTGTGTATAATGTAACAGTCATTTTTATTTCTATTTCTTGGACATTTTACCTCACATCTTACATAAAATGTTTGTAGTTGATAGGAGAGTCTGTTAAGACTGTGGCTGTGCTTTTAGGATGCATTCTCAGCAATGCCGAAGTCTATATGTTAGTAACACAATGCATTACGTCAGTATTGTTGGCCACAAAGAAATACCACAGACATTTCCAGTTACATCCACCTGTATCTGTGTGTCAGTGAAGCACCATGTGTCAGACGAAAAGCTACCTGTATTGACAATCAGTGTTTATTTTATAAAGCTGACTAAAATTATTTTATCAAATATATTTTCTTACAGTGCAGTTTTGATTTTTAGTTGCTTTTTCTCTTCAAAATGAAAACCTTCATTTTATGTACTCCTACCCTCCTGGCTGAAAACCAGGCATTTAAACAAAAATAAAGGATTGCCAGTTTTGCCAGCTGGGGATGAGAACCCGGCTGGTGAAATGTGGGTTCAGAAGGCAGTTAATCCAGCTTTTATGCTTTTTATAGTTTTATGAAAAAAGAGGTTAAAAACCACATTTGGCTCCTTTTCATGTATGCCACTGTTTTGTTGGTGTTGTAGGAGTGTAGTTAAAGATTAGTTAGATTTTTGGTTTGTTTTATTATTGTGTAAAATCCTGTATCAACCATTAAATGTCCAGAAAACAATCTACCTCACTAATGAGCTATTCAACAGTCACTGTTACTTTAAAAGGTACAGACTGTATTTCCTTTAAGAAATGAGAGGATTCCTTATGCTTCCTGACCCTATTCCTTAGTTTCTTTTTTTATTCCCATATTACTTACTCAGATACCAAAAACGAGAATGTTTTATCTATTAAAAACTCTTTGTCCACATGTTTGTCTTTCAGAAAATATTTTCTTTACTCACAGTAACTAGATTTTTGATCTTAAGTTGCAGAGTATTTTCTTAGGTTCTTACACCCAATAAAAACAATGAATTTTTGAAATTCTCTCCATAATCTTTACATATTCATGCCCATCATAATATTTATGGATAACTTTAATATGACTGTCAGGAATATCTAAAAATCAATAAAGCATTTGATTAATTCAAAATATGAATTTTAATTGATGAAATTCATATGCTAGAACATGTTTCCTCAAAGTTTGAAAGGGTCAAATAAACTGAGGTTTAATATCAATTATTTTAGATTGATTTTGTGTGTATAAGTATTTTGCCTCTGTGTATATGTGTGCAATCATCGTGGGCACCAGGTGCCCAAACAGGTCAGAGAAGGATGCCTGGTCTCCTTGCACTGCAGGTACAGATGGTTGTGAGCCATCACGATGGTACTGGAAATAGAACCCAGGTACTCTAAGCCACTGAACCAGCTTTCCAGCCCTGCTTTCTTCTTATTTTAAACTTAAGTTGTAAAGTAAAATGTATAAGGCACAATATGTGCTTTATCACCAGCATGGCTTAACTTTAAGTTGGAGGGAGTCAGAATGTTAAATGCAGTAGACCTATAAGATGATAAGCAAATTAGGAGCTGATGCGCTTCATTTGATTCTGTAGATACAGATGCATTTTAGACTCATGTTAACAAACTTTTCATGACCTTTCCTGTTGTTTTTGTACATTGAATGTTTCTGAATATGTTAGCTACTTTGTATAAGTATTTGAAGTTGTATTTTTATACAAAATTCACTTTTTTTTAATAATGCTTTAAAAGTTAATGTACATGGGTTGGACATGGCACTCCAGAGGCATGCAGACAGATCTCTATCAATTCAAAGCCAGATTAGTCTATGTAGCAAGTTCCAGGCCAGCCAAGACTTATAGTGAAGCTATCTGATGATGATGATGTAGTAGTAAAAATGCTTTGTTTTTTTCTGGTTTTACTTCTAGGTATTAGAAGATAATGACTATGGCCGAGCCGTGGACTGGTGGGGCCTAGGTGTGGTCATGTATGAAATGATGTGTGGGAGATTGCCTTTCTACAACCAGGATCATGAGAAACTCTTTGAATTAATACTAATGGAAGACATTAAATTCCCCCGAACACTCTCTTCAGATGCAAAATCATTGCTTTCAGGGCTCCTGATAAAGGATCCAAACAAGCGGTGAGCATCAGTGCTGGTCTGTAAGGTCCTGATGAACTGCTTAGAGTGTGCTTAGAATATACTTGACTTCAGGAAGCACTGTATTTGGTATAAACATTTTCCCACTGAGATACTGACTTGTTTATGAATGTATAATAGAACAGCTTAAAAATTCATCAAACTTACTATATAAGAATGTTTTAGAAATTCTTTATTTGTGCTATGAGAAAACAATTTCTTAATTATCTTAAATATTGATCTTATTGGGATAGGAGGTTCTCTTTTCTGCTTCGAGTTTCTAGGGCTTCATATTCTTACTGACTCACATCAAAGAAAGAGAGGCTGTTTTCACTCTCTCTTACTCCCACTAATCTATGTTAACATTTCTATCTTTTGTTATTTGAAATTTTCCCAAATATGGCCAAAAAATTGACTTTAAAAGCATGACACCATAATTTTGTTTTTTACAGAAATATTTAGTTATGACCTAAACTCTCCTAAAGCCCTTACTGCTCAGTCACTCTATTTTGTTCAGATTATCTATTAATGCTCAATATTTTCACAGGTTACATGTCAAATAATCTTCTGAACGTAAAGTACCCCATAATGTCAGAGAGACATTATATATATGTATATGTATATATGTACATATATATGTATGTGTAAATATGTGTGTGTGTGTGTGTGTATATATATACATATATATATATAAAATATGTGCATATAAATACATATTCAATGAGAAGTGGAGGGAAGGAGGGGGAAAGGGAAGGAAGGAGAGAGAGAAAGAGAGAGAGAAAGAGTATTCTTTCCCACTAAGTATCAGAACTTTCTTGAAAGTTCACTGAATTCCAGGTTTATCTAGGGGATAGGCAGCTTCATACGTTTTTGATTGTCCAGAACACCTTACCTAATATTTTGTTACAGTTTATTGTGATTCTTTTTTAACATATATTTGAAAGATTCAACTACTGAGTGAAAGAAGTATGAATTCTTAGAAGTTAGTATATGTCTATTTTAGTAGTAGTTGCCACTATAGGTATCTAATTTTTAAATTTGTAAGAACATGGAACTTGAGAGATGGTGTAAGTGGTTTAGTGACTGGCTGCCCTGGCAGAGGATCTGAATTTGGCACCCACCTGATGGTTCACAGCCATCTGTAACTCCAGTTCCAAGGGCTCTGGCACCCTCTTCTGACCTCCTGAGGCACCAGACATGCACATGATAAACATGCATGTATGCAGGTAAAACACTCATATACATAACATAAAAAGTAAGTTTAAAACACAGTAAGTTTTTAAGAATGTGTCACTGCTTTCAGGAGAAATAAGCACATAGTAAAGACTTAATTAGCACTTGGTGTTCTCAGGGACCATTTAAAAATCATACTGCGCATTCTTAGTGACTGTAGTATTTCCTTAGATTTATAAAATGTTTTTTTGTCCATCCCCCTTTTATTCTGGTACTTTCTTGTGATTTAATTTGCTTTTTTAGTGGCCTTCCAGGGTAGATCAAGAAGATAATGTAAGCATTTTATGTACAGAAGTGATTTGTCCATGGCCTCAATGAAAATTCATGTGTAATAGAAATAGAAAACCAATTTCCGACTTCCGGTCTGGGCCTGAGCATAGAGCAGGTCACAGGCGGCAGCTCTGTACCCAACCCCAGAAAACTGAGAGAAAGAGGGACTCCTAGGAGCTTTAACTCAGGCAGCATCCCAGGTAAAAATGCATCACCCGTGATGTCTGCTGTTAGAAGTTCTAATCCAGATGCTGGCCTCCGAGCTTAGGACAAGGAGGGTTAAAGAGAGCATGAAATAGGTAGTGAAGGCCCTGAGAAAAATCAGAGAGAGAAAGAGACAGATGAATGCTGGTACAAGAATTGGTTTGCAGCCTCTCCAAGGTTGTCAACCCTATTTCCTTCCATCTTGGGACCATTATTTGGGTTCTTTTTGCTTTTTTCTGCTGGTCCCTGGCCCTCAAATAGGCGGACTAACTCTGTGATACAACAGATAAATAATTTGGTAGCAAAACCTACTCAGATACATTATCATAAGTTAGCTATGGAGGACCACGAGACTCAAGATGAGGTTGTTACTTTATACAGGGTGTTCCCAAAACCCATCTCCATCCAACCTAAAAGGGGAGACTTCTGCCCCTAGACCAAGCAGATAGGGGCCACCCAGAACCCCCTCTGACAGGCGATCTGAATTCTTGCTTAGGCTGCGAGGCTAAGCACTGCAAGGGAATATAAATAAAAGATAAAAATATCTATCTGGGTTCCCTGAGGGACAAGCCTGACTGCATAGGGGTTGATGTCAAAAGTATCCCCTCTCCAGGAAAAAGACATCGGGACGGGTATGGCCCTTATGGCTCACTGGACAATGACAGGGGGACTGGAGCCATTACAAGGTCTACTTCAAATACTGGAGGTCAGGCCTCTATCCCCACCTTCACAAGTTTAGAATTGCCACAGCCCTTCTATACTTAGAGAAGGGAGGAGATGTCAGGGGCAGCCCTGCTTACACACTGTAGGCCTAAAATCAGCCATAGGCCTAAAATCAGCAATAGGCCTGTCATACATGTATACTAACACCAAGTCTTGGGTCTCAGTGGAAAAACATTGAAACAGATGGCTATAAGCTAATATCAACAGGCAGCTTTTGTGGAAATTTATAAGCCTGAGTAGTCATAGACCTTGTAAATAGGTAGCCTTGACAGACAATACCAACTTAGATAAGGACAAGCGAGTCATAGGCAGAGGCATAGTGAATTGCTCCCTGAACCTTCACCTAGCCAATACCCGGTTCTGAAGATATCTGTATTCCCCCTGAACTCCCACACTCCAGTGTCATTCCCTTCCCCACATCCTGCCTTTCTGTGTTTATAACCCCTGTGTGAATTAATTACGATTTGAGAAAAAAAAAAGATAGTCTCAAAAAAAAAAGAAAGAAAGAAAACCAATTTCCCAGTGTGTGCATTGTGTTTCTTATACATCTTATGTACACCAACTTCTCAGTATAGGTTTTGAGATGTGTTGCGTTTAAGATGATCATGTCACAGTTATGTAATGAGCAGCATTTGCTGGAAGGTCATGTCTAAGCAGAGCTATGCCTGCTAGTTCATCTTTTTGAGTTGGGGAGAATCTAGTCTGTGACTTGGTTTCAGGGGCAGTGAATTTTTATCCCATCTTATTCTGACTCTTCCATATGTCTTTGGTCACTTTTTCTTATGTGGTTGTCTCTGTAAGTGGTGGCAAAACAAAGTCTTGCTTGTGATTTTTATATTTCATTTATCTACTATGGCTCATTCCCATTCTACAGATAGCACATAGTAGGTGCTTGGAGACTTTTGAATATATGTTAGGTATATTTCAAGAATGTTAGGGTTCTGGTACATCGTTCCTCCTTCCCGAGACTGAAAAGATGATACAGGTTTTTGAAGACCCTTTATATAAAATACAGAGCAGTCAGACCTCTGTGCTGCTATATCACAGTATCAAGAGCTCAAAGATAAATGGCACGAACAAGTCTTTTTTGACATTTATAGGCAAAGGACAGAAAACATGCACTTCACATTCTCAGGCCAAACTGTATAAAAATGCTCTAGACATTGTAGCATAGCCTAGGAGACTTTTGAGAACCTGGGCTGGCGCTCTGGAGGCCTCGGAATTTGCGCTATTTAGACATGGCTTACCTGTAAAATATAGCTGCTAGGAGTGCACATGAGCATGGCCTTTGAGGAGTTGAGGGCTAGACTGTAGAGTACGAGTACATGACATTGAGAGACGGAGCGGGTGGATTACATCATAAGGGTCTTCCTTACACTTCTTAAAGAGCAGACTTTAGTCAGGGAAGGAGAAGCAGCCAGAAGAAAGAGAGAGATGGTATCAGGAGATGCGTGTGATAAGGAGGTGAGCCTGGCAGCCATGGATTAGAAGAGTGAAGGACAGCAAGGCAAAACACTTTACAAAGCCTACATGGCAAATACATCACTTAGAATGCTGAGGCAGGAGGATTTAGGGTTTGAGGCCAGCCTGAGCAACATAGTCATCCTTAAAACAAATAACAGACAAAAATTTCCAGATAAGTGGGTTCTTTTGGAAGCCAAGGTTTTAAAAAATGTATACAATTTTAAGAATGAGTAAGAAGAAATGGTAAGGAAGTTGGCGTATTGAATCTACCCAGTTTAAGGAGTAGAAGCGAAGGCAGAGGCTTGTAGTGCTGAATGCTGAGAGTAACTAAATAAACCAGATCTGGGTTTCTTGGAAAACTGAGATGAAACCAGTGCTTAGAAGAACCACAATAGCCAACTATGGATTTGGGTGTCCATTGGCATCAAAGTGGTAACTAGAGGCAGAAAAGTAGCACAGAAAGACTGTCAGAAGAGGAGGGCCCAGGACAGAAACCTGGGAAACCTAACAGTGTAGGGAGCAAATAAAGCCAGCCTCAGCTTCCTCTGTGACTTACTCATTTCATTGAGCTACTTGAAGTGATACCTAAAGTTTTCTGATATCCTTTACTGAATTGCTTTGAGTTCTACCAAAGGATCAACCATCACTGGGCCTCCCTCCCTCCCTCTCTCCCTCCCTCCCTCCCTGCCTCCCTGCCTCCCTGCCTCCCTCCCTCCTTCCCTCCCTGCCTCTCTGCCTCCCTCCCTCCCTTCCTCCTTTCTTTCCTTCTTTCCTCTTTCTTTCCTTCCTTCCTTCCTTCCTTCCTTCCTTCCTTCCTTCCTTCCTTCCTTCCTTCCTTCCTTCCTTTCTTTCTTTCTTTCTTTCTTTCTTTCTTTCTTTCTTTCTTTCTTCTTTTTCTCTGTTGCTCTGTGTCTTACTTTTATCCCTGAGTGCAGCTTACATAAAAAGCATCACTTGATGGTGGGAGCAGTACTATAGGAAATGGGAATTCTGTGATGTTGCTCATAGCTAAGAACACATAGGAGCTAAAGGTTTATTTGGCACTCTGATATTGGAAGTTTAATAATTATAAGCATAAAAAGTTAGTTCAAAGCATATTTTGGCATCATTTTGAAGTCTTTAAGTTGTATATTAAGGAGCCATTGGCATTGGAATTTTTGACAGCTTCACACTTTAAAGAAGCATGTGCTTCGTCATGTTCTAAAATTCACCTACAACTGTAATCCCAGGCATTGCAGAGCGCTCACAGGCAGTATATAATGTATTTTGACAAACATGGTAGCTATGTCCTAAGCCAATCTATTAAAAAAAGTACTGAGGTTTTACACAAAAATGAATAACTGAATCTGGATTGATATATTTTTTAAACTTGTAGAATGGCTGATTGTCTACTTTATACATCCTCTCAAGTATACATCCAATGCAAACAATATTGTAAATTATAAACAAACTAAACTGTGTAGGAAAATAGAGTTCTGATTTTTATGTGTACTGGTTTTATTTATACTTTGAAATATCAAATTCTTTTCAGAAAAAAAACCATTTTGATGATTCTGCTTTTCTTATCTCTTAAGCAAAGCTTAGAATGACTGTTAACCCAGTAGTGGTCTGCCCTCCCAGGTGTTGGCAGCCTACCAAGGAAAAGCAGCATAATTGGAAAAATAGTGAATGTAGGGGTCAGAGGCTAAACCTTAAATAAAATCACCATACTGAAGGTTCCAGATATGAACTCTGCCATATTATACAATCTAGTGTCCATCTCTGGAGTGGAATTTGGAGTTTATTTAAAGAATCCCCTGTAGATTCTAGAGAATGCTTTCTTGGAATTAACACCAAAGCTAATCATGTATTTAGTGACTGCAGGTTTCCTCCTGACTATGTTAGACGAGCTAGGTCCTTCTTAGACATGGATTCCTGACATTGGGTAGCCAGTATTCCAAAGACTTGGACCTTATTTACTTTTTCTAGCTGTTTGTTTTTTTCCTCTACCTAGTGGTGTGTTAATATTTGTATGCATCAAATCATCAGAACTAGCTGTTAAATTTCCACAGATGTTGAGAGCTATGCGTTTTATTAATCATTCATTTTTATCAAATTATGCAAACTAAATCAAGAATGGTGAAAGCAAAGTACTCAGTCACAATTTATCCCTCTAATGATTTTGTTCCATGTTACTGTTATTTTGTTTCTGAGTTGTATCCATGTGGAAACAATATATACTGATAGGATTTTCAACTATGTTACTTTGAAATTGGCCTTTTAGGGTATCATTCCTACTACCAAAATTGGCCAGTCCTCTAAGTCAGTATTTGATTGGTACTTTGATTCTTTACAATTAAGAAAATGAGGGAGGAAAGGTTAATAATGCAGACTCAGTTGAAGAGCTTTTGGTTTCTGTGACATTGTAAATGCAGCAGCAGCAGGTTAAGTGTTGTTCACTGTACAGAGTTTCCCAGCAGTCAGTGCTCACGTTGGCTGTTTCTTGTGTCACTTTCTTCTCTGGCTTAACAGAAACAAAACAAACATGCCACAAGTAATTAATAATCATACTCATTTATAGTCGGATTTGGAATTGAGCATAAACTAAAGGTTTTCTGTGAGAATGTTGTGTCTTATTTATAATGGAAACATTCTATACTTTTTTGTATATATTATGCTTTACATCCCTTATAACAGTAAAAATTATAGTAAACACAGTCATGCATATGCACCTGTGTGTGACCAAGTCTAAAGAACATTCCCTGGTTTAGATCCAATTTCAGTGTGGTCCTTCATTTTTTCTCTTTCTTTTCTTGTTTCTTTGTTACCCTCCTTCAATTCTTATTTTTCATATATATTTTCTTTTTAATTATTATGTAATAAATTGAACCATTGAAGCCAAGAAATACTTGTTTTTTTCTTATCATGTCTCACATTGTTTAAATAAAAATAACTTTAAACTTAAGGTGTAATTTTAACTTTTAATTTTATTCTCTGAATTGTATAGTAAATTGGACTATAAGGATACTTCATAGATAATAATATTGTTTCTGTATCATTTTTTTGAAATATGAATATAATCTGTGAGATTTTTATATGGGATGGTGATGTCCAAAGATAGTTTTCTTGTTGTTCTTTGTGGAACACTCATGGTCTTAGTCTCTTTCTGTAAGCCCTGGCTGTTCTGGAACTCACTTTTAAGCCAGGTTGGCTTTGAACTTACTGTGTAGACTAGGCTTGTCTCAACCTCCCCAATACTGTGAGTAACTACACTAGGATCACAGATGTTTTTCTAACCATTTATTTACTTTAGAATTTACACTAACAAAAGAACATTTTGACTCACTTCCTAAAAAAGGAACAGTGGTAGAAGCATCCTTTGCTTACACATGGTGCTGTCCATGTATTCTTAAATCTCATCACCCCCTAAGGAGCTGCAGTGTCTCTCCTGCATGGTTGGAGCTGGTCACCTGTTGGTTACCCAGTCCCTCTCTAAAAGGACCAAAGTCCCTTGGCCTCTTCAGGCCTCTCTCCAAAGCCTTTGTCTTTTACCGTCATCTGAGGGTAGTATTATTTAGTAGCATTGTTTAATATTTATTTTTATGGCTATGCATTTTAAAAATATTTAAACACAGTAAATTTTATCTTCATGAAACTTCTTATTGTTTAACTTATATAAATGTTTTATACTTGTTTAATTTTTTTCTGTTCTCACAGCCTTGGTGGAGGGCCAGATGATGCAAAAGAAATCATGAGGCATAGTTTTTTTTCTGGAGTAAACTGGCAAGATGTATATGACAAAAAGGTAAGATATCTCTAAAGTTCTCTACACCTCAGAAATTTACCTCAATAAACTATAATGATACAGTGATATTTTCTGTTTTATTTTGTAATTGAAGTTGTGATGAAAAATATACAGAAAAAATTTTAGTACTTAACAAAATAAACAAATCTGTGATTTTACTTAAATTCTCTCTGTTACTTGTAAAATATTATTTCCCATAGAATGATTGCTACCAATTATGTACCAATTTCCTTATTTTGTGAATAGCTACACTGTGCTCTGCCTTGATCATGACTCTCCACCACAAAAGAACGAGACGTGGTGCATGGTCATTGACTCTCTTTGACATAAAATGTAATGTGCATTTTTCTTGCTGGCTTTTGTTCATTTTTTAGACTGTGTCACTCTTAGCTCAGGCTCTTTCTGGAGTTTGCTATGCGTTCTTGGACCCACCTTCAGTCATAATGGTCCTCTAACCTGGGTCACATCACTGGGCTCCAGATACACTGCATATACCTGCCTTTACCAGTTTTTGTACTCTACTTTGCCTTTAGACATTCTTCATATAAATATTGATTTTGATTTTTAAATGCTTACGTAACTTTTTATGTGTGCATGTATATGGGAGGTCAGGAATCGAAGTCAGATGGATTCTGCCATCTCTCTCCCTGAACTTGGAGCTCACTGATCAGGATGGCCTGGCTGGGCAGTGAGCTCCAGGGATCTGCTTGTCTCTGTCCCTCAGCTGTGAGGAATCACTGTGTGCTACCACATGTCGCTTTTTATATAGGTACTAGAAATCTGAACTCATGCTCTCATGTTTATGAGCCAAGTACTTTACCTAATGAGATAGCTCTCCTGCCCTTTATATAAAATTTTAATGTGAAAATTTGATGAATACTGTAATTTACTTAGAAATTTTATCTAATTATTTTGTCTATACATTTTGTCTAATTATTTTTAGATTTCCTTATTTTTATCTGAAACCTCATTTATTTTGTGCCAAATATTTTTCCCTTTGAGCCCCTTTGGAGGATCACAGTACAAATGACATGGGATACGATTGGCATTTCATTTTTATATAATGTTGTTGGCAGTGGAAAATATGATTTTCTTCCCATTCCTGTAACTAAGCATTTAAAATAACTGTCCATTTAAACACTTTATTCAAAGCTCCACTTCCACTCATCTCACATATTTAGAATTTCTCACATGAGAAAGCATGTGATATGTGCTAGGTCCTTCACAGCCTCTGTGAGACTCAGGCACTCTGAAATGCTGTGGTAGACAATTGCATTCACTTGATATCAGTGGTAGTAGTCCTCACGAGATCCATGTGCACCTAAGAAGGTTTCTGCAAGCTGTACTCTGCCTTGATCATGACTCTCCACCACAAAAGAACTAGAAGTGGTGCTTGGTCATTGACTCTCTTTGACATAAAATACTATAAAGTGCAACTTAATATCATTCCTTGAACTTCTGACCATGAAGAACTCTTTCAAAAGAACAAGAGTGCAGGGTATATGGTTCAATGGCAGGACTCTTGCTGGGCATGCATAGGTGCCTGCATTTCATCCCATGCACCACACATAAGAAATAAATTAGAACAAGTGGAACTGGAAAGAAGAAAGGAAACATGTCTTTAAAAGACAATGGTAAGGATGCATTGTGGCACTACTAACCTACAAGAGGAACTTCTTAGTCCTGTAAGGAAACATTAGTGTGGAGCATGGCTTTCCTTAGGGTTGAAATGGTCACATGAAATGCTGTTGGCAATAGTGAAGAAAGCTCTAGAAACCAAGCAGTGTGTCCATGAAGAAATGCTTTGCCTGTCTTATGGACTACATATGTCCAGAGTAAAGATGATCCTACAGTTAAGACAACTTGTGAAGACAGAAATTGGATAAGAGGTAGTCAAATGGAACTTTATGAAATATATATAAAGAAATTATTTTATAAGTGTGAAGCTTGTTATAAGAAATACGATCACAAAATGTTAGTTTCTGTGAACAGTAGGCTTACAGTGGACTCAGACCTTCTGTAAGTGTCCTGCTTTTCTGGTAGTTGGTATTTTCAGACAGCCTTACAGAGTCGGGAACAACCTTACCTCAGTACCCTTTTACCCTTTGGTGTTGTACCTGGGTTCATATAGCACAAATAAGTAAAATACCAACTCTCAGATCCTCTGATAACTGTAGCAATTTTAACAAAGTTAGTAAGAAGTCTGGAATTTTAGAAATATAAATCATGAAATAAATTGTAAAATTGGAAAATTTGCAGGATCTTTATATTTTTAAAATATGTAACTTGGACTAGTGAGATGGCTCAGTGAGTAAAAGACACTTATCCCCAAGCCTGGGGACCTCATTCTGCCCCCATGGTGCACATGGTGAAAGGGGATAACCTCCTCCTCAAAGTTGTCCTCTGACCTTCACATGGGAGCTGTGCCACATGCAGACCCTTCTGCACACACTCAAATAAGTAAATGTAATAAAAATTAAAACGTGTAACTTATACACAACTAGGTTTTTCATCTTCAAGGTTGGTATTTTGTTACTTGCAAATAAACTTTGTGTATTTATTATTTCATAAATTAGTCCTTAATTGATGCCTGTTTTCTAATTAATTTTTTTTCAGACAGGGTCTCACTGTATATCCCTGAGTAACCTAGAACTGACTGTGGTAATCAGTGGCTTTGGACTCATAAAGATCCGCCCCTTTATCTAAATTTTTGTGGCAAAATAGAGATGACATGTTTAGTATATCTTTAAACCAGATCTAACCCATTCTCTATAAAAGAAAAACAGTAGAAAATGAACTAATTGTAGAAGAACACAGAAACAAAGTTGAAAGAGCTGGCCCTCTATTCTGGACTCTTATCTTTTCTGTTTTTGCAGTAAGGGACAAGCCACACGAGTCATAGATGATTCTGATAATCTTAGGACCCTTAAACTGGGAGACTTTTCTGGAAGGGTGTTTATGACTTTGTTGACACACCCTTTCCTCCTGCTTAAGACAGGGTCTTCCTATGTATGCTCTCTTACCTCAGACTCAAATCCCTCCCTCCTCAGCCTCCTGGGTACTTGGATTACAGGTATGCACTAGTAGACTAAACTCAGATTTTACTTTATTTACATACTTTAATTTTTAAGAATCATTTATTTTATGCATATGAGTTTATTGCTTACATGTCTATGTACTCTTTGCGTGTGCCTGTGTGCATGTGTGTGTACGTGCATGTGTGCGTGTGTGTAATGTCCACAGAGGTTATAATGTCACATGTCATGTGGGTTCTGGAGCATGGGAACCAAACTTCAGTCCTCTCTTAAGAACAGCTTCAGCTTTTAGAGAATTAAATTAATTTGGGTTTTATTGATTCTTCTCTATTTATGGATTTGTGATTTTATTTATTTATTTATTTATTTATTTATTTATTTATTTATTTATTTATTTCCCTTGTGTATCTGTCTTTATTGGTGGTGGGCCTTGAACCAAAGCCTTCCTGTTTGGCCGCTGTGCCACATTACTAGCCTCATTGGAATAACCGTCATTCAGCTGCTTTGAGTTGACTTTACCTTTCTCTCTCTAGTTTCTGTAAGTTGAAACAATAATTATTGTTGTGAGACATTGTTATTGTTGTCATTGTCTTTACTAATTTATCACTCAGTTAAGCCCAAAGTTTTTCTCTAGGGCAGTGGTTCTTAACCCTGTTGGTTGCCACCCCTTTGGGGGTCAAGTGACTCTTTCACAGGGGTCACTTATGACCATTCGAAAACAGGGATATTTACATTACAATTCAGAACATTAGCCAAATTTTATTTACAAAGTAGCAATGAGATAATTTTATGGTTGAGGTCACCACTATAACAGAAATTATATTAAAGGGTCATAACATTTGTAACGTTGAAAACCACTACGCTAGAGACTGTTCAGTCTATTTCTTTGGTTTTAAACTGCATTTTAATTTAAAAATATTTTTAATATTTTATTTATATAATGTGGAGGAAAAAGAAAAAGAACAACTAAATAATAGGGAGCAAGGAAGAGCCGAAGGCGTGCTGTGGAGCTGTCATTGCATCGGTTAATTTCTCTTCTGTGACCTTTTTTAATAATAAAGTTTTTTTATAAAATAAAAACTTTAAATTATCAGGAACAGAGGGGAGAGGAGAAGAAAGCACAGATTCTGCTTTTCCTCTATAACATGTTTTTACCAAGATGCGTCTATGGATATGGGACACATGTTCTGTTAAGATGGCAGATGGTGCAGTTCATGTCGTCAGCATCCTTCTGTGTACTGGTACTATCAGTTACTGACAAGCAGTTGTTGAAATATTCAGCTACAATTGTAAACATCTTTTTAATTTTGCATTTCTTTTTTGGTTTTGTTTATTTTTTAATTTTTGTCAGTGATCCTATTCAAACTCAATGCTTTATATATGCAAGTCCAGTGCTCTGCAGCTGAGCTGCATTCCAGCCCCGCTTTCTGTATTTTGAAGTGTTGGCTGTATGTACACTTAAGTTTAAGATTGTTATATCTTGGTGAATTTTCCCCTTAACCCACAGGTTATTTATTGATCTTTCTTTTATTAAGTATATACTGTGTGTGTGTAATATGTCTTTTCTCAACATTTTCTATTAAATTATATTTAATAGAAAATCTATTTAAATTATAAATAAGTAGATTCTGTTTTATCATGTAGTTTATTCTTTTTTTTTCTTACTGGATAACATGAGACTTAATGAAATGTGATTTATAACTTCATTTAGTTCATTTATTGACATAGTTATCTGTCTGATTTTTAGATTGTCTTTTTTGCCTTTCTCTTTACTTACCTCTTTTGTGACTTGTTCAGTATTTCTGGTTCCATTTTTCCTCTATTATAATCTTACTAGCTGTGCCTGTTCTCTTGGCAGTCATGTGTAGACACTGCAGTGTCTGGTTTACTCCCAGTCTGCTCTCAGCTGGAAGTACATCACACAGAGCAGCAGACATTTCCTCACTTTGCCGTGCTTTTCTGTGC